CTCCTGGCTGTCTGGGTTCAAATCCTTCTGGGGGAAAAGAAGAGAGAGAGAGAGAGAGAGAGAGAGAGAGAGAGAGAGAGAGAGAGAGAGAGAGAGAGAGAGAGAGAGAGAGAGAGAGAGAGAGAGAGAGAGAGAGAGAGAGAAAAAAAATAAATGTAAAGTGTGTAAACATTTAGCCAAGAACCGCTGGCTGGTATTTACGGCTCTCCTTGGCGCCTCATCACACTGTTTATAACCCGCTTCCAGCTGTTAAGCCCTGCCACACCTCGCACCTTGATTGTCTCACTCTCCTGTAGGAGAGCTGGGAGAAGGCTCTAGAGTGAGTGTGAGCACGAGGAAGGGAGGGGGGAGCCAGGTGGAGTGAGCAGGAGCAACAGTGAAAGAGGCTTGGTAATAAGAGCGGGAGAAGGGTGATAAACTAGCAAGTGGCCATTAAGAGCCATGTGCTAAAGTTAGCAAGCAAGGCAGCCAATAAACACACAGTTCTGAGACGCGTCTCGTACCGTGTCAACAGCAGCGGCTGCAAAACTTTACACGGGGCTCAAGTTCGCTCTCCCTCTTGAGTGAGCATTGCTTTCCTGGATGGTCTGCCCCATCACTCATGTATACCAATTCTGGACAAGGTACAGAACACAAGCTACTCTGTATGCGATTATTCACTGATCGTTGACACATGTTTGTAACATGTCCGCTCAACACGTAAATGCTCATGCAATCAAGCCAACCGACAATATTAAGGCTCTAGCAAGCACTACGCTCCATCTTCTGGATGATACCTGGTTGATGGGGTTCTGGGAGTTCTTCTACTCCCTGACTTGTGAGAGTTTGGTCCACCAGGCTGTTGCTTGGAGCGGCCCGCATACCCACCACAGCCCGGTGCCCACAATCATCCTGTTGCTAACATGATTTAATAAAAACAGTAAGCTCATACAAAATTAGTTTCTGGGGTTAGACTGCAGATAAGCAGATGCAGGATAAGAGGTCCTAGTATGAAGTTTTACTGCAAACAGCACTGGCATTCCCACTGAAGCCCACAATAAACCAAAATAAAGGGTGAGCGAGAAACGACTGGTATTTACAGACGGAAACGATATGTTATGACTCCAGTTAAGATAGATAGATCCCCAGGCCATCACATGCCAGAAAAAATTCAACAATGTGTGCTGGAGTACAATGATTACAGAGTGTCATAATGAGTACAGTGTGCTATAATGAGAACAGGGAATATAATGAGTATAATGACTCTAGACTGGTGTAGTTAGCACAGCCTGCTGTAAGGAAGGGGAGGGTTTATCGTCGAGAGGTTATCTTTAGGTTATCTTGAGGGAGGGGGGGATAAAAAGAGGTGGTAGCCAGTGGTATTGTCATGGAAGTGGGTTATGAATGGTTTGCGGTTAGTGCGGTGGTTTGGTAATGTTGCAAGTGTGCAGTGAAGGTGTGGTATTTAGTGTGGTGGTGGAGTGGTGTGACTGAGGGGGGCATTATGGTGCCGCTGTGTAGTGGGATGGGCAACAGTGATGGTGTACTGAGCACAGATGGAGATTGTGATGATGTCTTCAGCCATGTTGTGACAAGTGTGTTTTGGTTAAATATAATACATGAACTCTGCTGCTTGCGGAGCAATGTTTACGTACCGAGTCTTAACATACTGCTAATCCAGTTAGTTGTATTTGATGCTTTATTTACCCCTTAATGAAGTGCAGTTCTTTACCGTATCAGACCTTGATGTTGTGAATGGACTTGCTACTTAATTGACACAACTTCGTGTCCACTGGGGAAGGTGGCAGGTAGTGAAGACTGACACTCAAGACAGAAGTCGACAAACACCTCCAAAGAATACCTGATCAACCAGGCTGTGATTCATGCGTCAGGCTGCACCAGCCGCGTCCAACAGCCAGGTTGACCAGACGACCAACCGGGAGGCCAGGCCGGAGACCGGGCCGCGGGGCTATTGCTCCCCGGAAGCTACGCAAGATAGAGACGAGGTAGGTAGGAGAGAGACAGGGGAGGATACAGAGGGTTTTGCTCATTGTGAGGTAAATGTCGCTAGACTAAATGAGGAAAACAGCTTATTGTAAGAGGAAATATATAATTACAGGGAGGAGGAGGAGGTAACGCGAGCACTCACTACAGCAGGCTATAAAAAAGGCTTCCTGTGAGAGCAGACGAACCATCGCTGTAAAACAACTAGCCCATTATCAAGGTAAAAAGCCAGAGTAATGAGGTGTGGTTATTACCATATTAAAAAGAGGTATTACTAACAATAGCGCCGGGGGGAAGCACGAGTATTATCGATAAGACTCATTAATGAGAGGAAGGAACCCTCACAATGGGAAGACGCATTAAATTTATAAGCCGGGTGTCGATAATGTGGGGTGGAGCAGGGGCGGTAGTAAAGGTCAGGCCTTGGGGCCTCACAGCTCAGTGGACAGCGCTTTGGATGCGTAGTCCGGAGGTTTCGGGTTCGATCCCCGGTGGAGGTTATTTTGAGATGATTTCGGGGCTTAGCGTCCCCGCGGCCCGGTCCTCGACCAGGCCTCCTTTTTATTACACCCCCCCCCCCAGGAAGCAGCCCGTAGAAGCTGTCTAACTCCCACGTACCTATTTACTGCTAGGTAACAGGGAAATCAGGGTGAAAGAAACATTTAGCCCATTTGTCTCCACCTCCACCGGGGATCGAATCCGGAACCTCAGGACTACGAATCCGAAGCGCTGTCCACCCAGCTGTCAGGTGGAGGCGGAGTTTCTTTCATTCTAATGCACTTGTTCACTTAGCAGTAAATAGGTACCTGGGAGTTAGACAGCTGCTGGGGGATGTATAAAAAAAAGGACCTAGTCGAGGTCTGGGCCGTGGGGACGCTAAGCCCCGAAATCATCAAATCAAATCATCTCAAGATACCATCCCTCTACTGGTAAAGTTACAGCCCCGCTCCTGAACCAGGTAAGTCCACTACGGGCTCGCCATAGCCCGTGCTACTTGCAACTTTTGTTCCGAGGAGCTGAATGTGAAACAACAACAACCCTACACCCCCTAAGAGTCGACAATAAGAGGTCAGAGATCCCTACTCCCCCTGATAGTCAACAATAAGTCAATACTAATACTTTCTACTATATAAAGAAAGTGGTCACCGAGCAAAAAATATATATCGATTCAGAAGTTGGAACAGTAATGCTAATTAAAATATAATATAATTATCTTCATTCAAAAATGTACAAATCTTTACATTCATACAAAGGAAAAAATATAGACATAACAGTTGAGCATATATACCTGACTAATAATATCAAGTACATTATTAAATTATACGATATAAAGGTCAAAAAGCTTTACGCTGATCGTCAAGTGTAAATATAACATAAATGACGAGGCAGACGATCCTGAGGGGAATCAAATATAATTTGACGAGAGCATTACCAGGAGAAAACAAACATTTAACAGAGGAAGAAATTATTCTGGCGAGGTATAATTGGTGAAGCATTTTATGAGTGTGTGAGAGGCGTTTACGAGGCACGAAGGTCATCACAAGGAGAGGAGAGGCAGCCGTAACTGATAAGACGACCGGAAAGCAGATGACAAGAGCGGCGTGAAGGAGGAGATTAGATCAACCTTGGATGGGGCATCAGAAGCAAGGCAATATGTTGACCAGAAATATGTTGACCAGACCACACACTAGAAAATGAAGGGACGACAACGTTTCGGTCCGTCCTGGACCATTCTCAAGTCGATTGTCTTGTCATTCACAATCGACTTGAGAATGGTCCAGGACGGACCGAAAAATCGTCGTTCCTTCATTTTCTAGTGTGTGGTCTGGTCAACCATAAAAGAAATAAAGACTATCTGAATGACTAATCGATTACTGACTAACGAACTGATTAATATCAATTAATCAAATGCAACAGCATCAATGGAAAATTGGCAATAACAAGGATTACCTGGGCTGGTTTTTTTTTGTAAAGAGTAGAGATGACGTAGAGGATTACACACTTTTCTCAGGTCTTAGACCCTACTCGCCTAGCCTGGTGCACAGATCAGCTGGAAAGTTGACGGCTTACTTAGAACGTCAACAGCACGTTAACAGCATACGTTAATTGAAGATGCAGACAGGCTGGAGGCTGTCAGGCAAACACAAGTCTGCCGGGTGTGTTGTGAATACCAGAGTAGGGCTGGCAGCCTGGTTATGACTCTGGCTCAGTGGAAGGGTAGCTAAATACAACCACAATCAAATCACGTCTTCAAGAAAAAATTACACAGTTCTTGTAACAAGTGCCGGACCGACCAGGTTGTGGTGACCTGCAGGTCGTTCCAAGCAACAACCTGTTGAACCAAGTCCATGGGTCTGTCTATCTGTGTATCTCCCCCCCCCCACCCACTTTTCCTCTCCCCACCTCCCCTGCCCCTTTCCCCTCCCCTCTATCCCTCTCCCCACCTCCCCTGCCCCTCTCCCCCCCCCCCCCCGCCTCCATCAATACCACTAATATATAACACTATAAGAACACTTCACACATAGCTACACTCGATAGATAAAGTCGAAAGGAAAAATCAATATAAAAGTGTTTTGTTTTTTAAAAAGGGAAGTATTATGATTAGATTTTTTTTAGTTGTGCCATGATCAGCGCATAGTTTACAATATTAACAAATAATATGAATAATAATTCAAAATAGCATCGCACATTATTAAGAGATCAACTTCATGGGGGTGACGTTGCCACAGTGTCACATAGCAGCTTTTTTTTTAACACCAATCCATACCTACCCATGTTAGGCACGTACCCAGCAGCAATTACTGACAAATACTGGATAAAGGTATCCCCCTAGCGTCTGACATCCGATCGCGAAAAGACAAGACTGATATTTGCATTTTAAGATATGGATTGGAATGTTTACGGGCTATTCATGCCCGTGCCATCTTTTGGGTTACTTAATCTTTATCAGTCAATCAATCGATTGGTATGCAATGAAGATATATGCTGGTGGCGACCCACTGTGTTGAGATGTCCCCATGAATGTTGAGTTCGAAGAGGACGTTGTTGACTTCGAAGAGGACGCCGTTGAGTTCGAGAAGGACGCCGTTGAGTTCGAAGAGGACGCCGTTGAATTCGAGGAGGACACCGTTGAGTTCGAGGACACCGTTGAGTACGAGGAGGACGCCGCTGAGTTCGAGGAGGACGCCGTTGAGTTCGAAGAGGACGCCGTTGAGTTCGAGGAGGACGCCGTTGAGTTCGAGGAGGACGCCGTTGAGTTCGAGGAGGACGCCGTTGAGTTCGAGGAGGACGCCGTTGAGTTCGAGGAGGACGCCGTTGAGTTCGAGGAGGACGCCGTTGAGTTCGAGGAGGACGCCGTTGAGTTCGAGGAGGACGCCGTTGAGTTTGAGGAGGACGATGGGGAAGGGGGGATGGGGAGGGCCGGTTTCGGTCCCAGCTTTTAACAATAATGGGGAGTGAGGATATTAAACTGGAGATCCGACAATGGAGGTCATAAAGAGCAATTTCTGTGTGAAATAACGATTGTGTTGACAGTGTGTAGTGAACAGCATGTGAACTGAAGAAGAAATTCTGGCTTTGTGGAAAGTTGCGAACCCAGGGGGATGGGGGAGGGGAGGGGGGTTGGCTACTATTGTCCTCTCAGCCAAAGTCAGTAACATTACAAGTGTATCAGTGTCAAGGAGGCATCCTGAGAGCTGTTTATGGCGTACAAGATAATAATCCATCCGCCAATCCATACACCAATCCATCCACTCATACAAATCTCCATACACCCATAAATCTATATTATCGAGTGTTTTAGGAAACTTTCAACGATGTAAATTCTCTGGTCCTTCCCTGTATTCTTCCCTGGACAAGAACTGACTACCACGACTCCTCTCTAGGTCGGTACCCTCTATGATGCACCCTGTACCACCCTCCCCAGGCCACGCTGCACCCTGTACCACCCTCCCCAGGCCACGCTGCACCCTGTACCACCCTCCCCAGGCCACACTGCACCCTGTACCACCCTCCCCAGGCTACGCTGCACCCTGCACCACCCTCCCCAGGCCACACTACACCCTGTACCACCCCTCCCCAGGCCACACTGCACCCTGTACCACCCTCTCCAGGCCACACTGCACCCTGTACCACCCCTTCCCAGGCCACGCTGCACCCTGTACCACCCTCTCCAGGCCACGCTGCACCCTGTACCACCCCTCCCCAGGCCACGCTGCACCCTGTACCACCCCTCCCCAGTCCACGCTGCACCCTGTACCACCCTCCCCAGGCCACACTGCACCCTGTACCACCCTCCCCAGGCCACGCTGCACCCTGTACCACCCTCCCCAGGCCACACTGCACCCTGTACCACCCTCTCCAGGCCACACTGCACCCTGTACCACCCCTTCCCAGGCCACGCTGCACCCTGTACCACCCTCCCCAGGCCACGCTGCACCCTGTACCACCCTCCCCAGGCCACGCTGCACCCTGTACCACCCTCCCCAGGCCACGCTGCACGCTGCACCCTGTACCACCCTCCCCAGGCCACACTGCACCCTGTACCACCCTCTCCAGGCCACACTGCACCCTGTACCACCCCTTCCCAGGCCACGCTGCACCCTGTACCACCCTCTCCAGGCCACGCTGCACCCTGTACCACCCCTCCCCAGGCCACGCTGCACCCTGTACCACCCTCCCCAGACCACGCTGCACCCTGTACCACCCTCCCCAGGCCACACTGCACCCTGTACCACCCTCCCCTGGCCACGCTGCACCCTGTACCACCCTCCCCAGGCCACGCTGCACCCTGTACCACCCTCCCCAGGCCACGCTGCACCCTGTACCACCCCTTCCCAGGCAACACTGCACCCTGTACCACCCTCCCCAGGTCACGCTGCACCCTGTACCACCCTCCCCAGGCCACGCTGCACCCTGTACCACCCCTCCCCAGGCCACACTGCACCCTGTACCACCCTCCCCAGGCTACGCTGCACCCTGTACCACCCTCTCCAGGCCATGCTGCACCCTGTACCACCCTCCCCAGGCCACGCTGCACCCTGTACCACCCTCTCCAGGCCATGCTGCACCCTGTACCACCCTCTCCAGGCCATGCTGCACCCTGTACCACCCTCCCCAGGCTACGCTGCACCCTGTACCACCCTCCCCAGGCTACGCTGCACCCTGTACCACCCTCTCCAGGCCATGCTGCACCCTGTACCACCCTCCCCAGGCCACGCTGCACCCTGTACCACCCTCTCCAGGCCATGCTGCACCCTGTACCACCCTCTCCAGGCCATGCTGCACCCTGTACCACCCTCTCCAGGCCATGCTGCACCCTGTACCACCCTCCCCAGGCCACACTGCACCCTGTACCACCCTCCCCAGGCCACGCTGCACCCTGTACCACCCTCCCCAGGCCACGTTGCACCCTGTACCACCCTCCCCAGGCCACGCTGCACCCTGTACCACCCTCCCCAGGCCACGCTGCACCCTGTACCACCCTCCCCAGGCCACGCTGCACCCTGTACCACCCTCCCCAGGCCACGCTGCACCCTGTACCACCCTCCCCAGGCCACGCTGCACTCTGTACCACCCTCCCCAGGCCATGCTGCACCCTGTACCACCCCTCCCCAGGCCACGCTGCACCCTGTACCACCCTCCCCAGGCCACGCTGCACCCTGTACCACCCTCCCCAGGCCACACTGCACCCTGTACCACCCTCCCCAGGCCACGCTGCACCCTGTACCACCCCTTCCCAGGCAACACTGCACCCTGTACCACCCTCCCCAGGCCACGCTGCACCCTGTACCACCCTCCCCAGGCCACGCTGCACCCTGTACCACCCCTCCCCAGGCCACACTGCACCCTGTACCACCCTCCTCAGGCTACGCTGCACCCTGTACCACCCTCTCCAGGCCATGCTGCACCCTGTACCACCCTCCCCAGGCCACGTTGCACCCTGTACCACCCTCTCCAGGCCATGCTGCACCCTGTACCACCCTCCCCAGGCCACGTTGCACCCTGTACCACCCCTTCCCAGGCCACACTGCACCCTGTACCACCCTCCCCAGGCCACACTGCACCCTGTACCTCCCTCCCCAGGCCATGCTGCACCCTGTACCACCCTCCCCAGGCCACACTGCACCCTGTACCACCCTCCCCAGGCCACGCTGCACCCTGTACCACCCCTTCCCAGGCCACACTGCACCCTGTACCACCCTCTCCAGGCCATGCTGCACCCTGTACCACCCTCCCCAGGCCACGTTGCACCCTGTACCACCCTCTCCAGGCCATGCTGCACCCTGTACCACCCTCCCCAGGCCACGTTGCACCCTGTACCACCCCTTCCCAGGCCACGCTGCACCCTCTCCCAATGTTAACATATCTCACCACCGGACACCTCCAAGCTTAGATAAACACACCAGGTTAATGCCCATGATGCGTCTGTCTCTTCGCCCGCAGAGTCGTTCATTCCTTTAGCTTGATTTAAAGTCGTGGCCAAGTACAAGAACCGGCCTCCGCTACTCTCTGTTTACCTCAGGAGTATACACCCCATTGCTCTCAGCCACTCTGCGGTGGTTCCTTCACATCCCAGGCATTCTTGCCTTGACTGCCGATTGATCTCGGAACTTGTAATTGGCTGTTCGCAGCGTGCAAGGCCCGGTATCCACTTGATCACCCGGGAGGTGGAGGGAGCACCCACGAAGGAAGAGGAGGAAGAAAAGAGTAAGACAATTAGCGTTGCGCTTGACTGCCTCCAGTAGTCCACAGAGGGCGCTCCCTGTGTTGTGGGGCCATCCTGCTGAAGGAGTCTACGGTGTGTCCCGCTGGGGTATTTATGAGGGGGGGGGGGGGTAGAAATAGCCTAAGCTACTCTATTCCTTTGAGATGTATTTCTTTCTTTCAATAAACATACTTGAACTTATATTTATGGCATCCCAGGCCTCCACAATGTGCGTGCCCCTACACATGCATGCACGCATGGACGCAGGCTTACATGTACACACATACGCACGCACTGATACACACACACACACACACACACAGTGATCAGAGATGCAATAAAGTACAACCGTGTTTGATGCTGTGTATTACACTTATCTACTCACCGTCTCTCTCCCCGCTCTGCTCCCTCCCTCCACTACTCTCTGGGCGCTTTATATCTCCACAATACCTCAGAGAACGCAACACGAGGGACGGGCAACCTCCCGGGATCATTATAATGCCTCACCTGCTCACGAGTGGTTTGAACAGCCAGCAGTCCTTGCAGCCTCCCCCCCCCCCAGCTGGTGGGGGTGTCACAGGCAACACCCTCCCTCCCCCAGCTGGTAGGGGGTGTCACAGGCAACACACCCCTCCCCCCAGCTGGTAGGGGGTGTCACAGGCAACACACCCCTCCCCCCAGCTGGTAGGGGATGTCACAGGCAACACACCCCTCCCCCCAGCTGGTAGGGGGTGTCACAGGCAACACCCCCCCCCCCAGGTGGTAGGGGGTGTCACAGGCAACACACCCCTCCCCCCCAGGTGGTAGGGGGTGTCACAGGCAACACACCCCCTCCCCCAGCTGGTGGGGGTGTCACAGGCAACACACCCCCTCCAGCCACCCCCCCCCCTCCTCTCAACACCGCCACCTTCAGCCTGATTGTCAGTCACATTTTCCAGCCCAACGATTTTATCCTCAGGAGTTTGTAACGCCACAATTCTTTCCTCTTCGGTCTCAGTTGTTTCTGAATAAACTGTCTGTTCGTCTGTCTGTTCGGGTCTGTCAAGAGTTTTTTTAGGGGAGTGGGAAGAGCGAAGCGCTTGCCTGTAACTTTGATACTGCAGATTCCTGTGGATTGTCTGAAGTCGGATTCGTGATGTTTTCCACCATTGAAGCCCAGCTCGAGGTTAGGTTTCCCCTTGCAGACTACCTGGTCAGCCAGGTTATTGGTGCTTGCGGGCCGCCCCGCGGGCCGACATGGCCATAACAAGAATTGGAATCAAGCAACATCTGAAGGAATGCGAGCAGCACCCTCTTGAAGATGGCGTTCCGTCCAACAATACCGTCAGTCTTGGATATCTCCGTGAGCACTGTGTTGTGTGCTGACCGCTCTGGAAACTTGCCCTGGGTAAATACAGCCCATCACACCGCATCTCACACTATATGAAGGTGTGTAAATTGCGAAACTGATAGACCACATCAAAACTTTCGGCAGCCTCCTCCATGGGAAGAATCGAGTTTAAAAATAATCATTGAAGGTTTACCAGTTAAAAAACAGCATGTGACTCGCAGAGGCTCAAAGCAGTCATAGAACGACAAATGGAAACTATCTCAAGACCTACAACCACTCTCATCTTCACAGATGGATCAGTTGATCAAGAAAGGTTCTGCTGGGGCAGAAGTTTACACTAACATCCATCAAGCTTACTGGAGCATGAATAGTGGATGCTCAACATTGCAAACAGAATTATATACCCT